CCAAGAGACCATGTAAATTCAGTCCAGCAATGTTTATTAGCTACAACCTCTAGCAAGAATCAACAACTTGAATTGGAGCTGGAAGCAAACTGGCACCCAATGCAGCTCCTGCAGCAAAGGTGTTACATGTGCCATCTTTTGGGGCACCCAAAATTGCCCATGTGGTCACATTTTGCACCAGCTGTAGCTTCCAGATACTCTTCAAGGGTAACCCCATGTAGAGCATATTGCAATAGTCTAACAGAGATGACTAGGGCATGAGTGACTGACTGGAGGGCCTCTCAATCCAGGAAAGGGTGTAACTGGCACACAACATGAAGTTGAGCAAAGGCCCTCCTGACCACGAGCAGGAGTTGTGCGTCCAGGAGCACCCCCAGATTTTGCACCAGTCTGTCTGGGGTAGTGCCACCCATCCAGAATCAAAGATGGTAAACTTCTGGATACAGAGGAGCCCCCAACCCACAGCCACTCCATCTTACTAGGGTGACAACAGCTGAAGCCTGTTGTTCCCCATCCAGACCCCTACAGACTCGAGGCACCTCGAAAGGGTGGTCACAGCATCACTCAAATCACCAGGGATGGAGATGTATAATTGGGTATCATCTGCATATTGATGATACCTCATCCCATGGTGGTGGATGATCTCACCCAGTGATTTCATGTAGATGTTAAAAAGGAGCAGAGAGAGTAGCAAACCCTGTGGCACCCCACAAAGGGAGGCTGTGGGTTGGACCTCTCGCTCCCTATCAAAAGCAATTGGGATTGGCCTTGAAGGAAAGAGGTGAACCAGCGCAAAACTGCACCACTCACCCCTAACTCCCCAAGCCGACCCAAAAGGATACCATGGTCAATGGTACCGAAAGCCACTGAGAGATCAAGAAGAGCAAGGATGGATGGACTACCCCCATTCCGCTCCCACCAGATATCATCCAAGAGTAGGGAGGCTGGTACAGTAACAACAGTCCCAACTGTTCTCAAGAACCCAACTTCAGGAATAGGGTCTCCCAACCAGCCCCTTGTGGAGCAGCACCCCTGAAGGCCAACAGAGATTCCCGGATAACAACTGCTGCTCCTCCTCCCCTGACTTGGGGTCTTGGGTGGTGCCATACTGTAAACCTGGCTGGGCAAGGGGAATCCACTGCCTTCAGGGCCCACCCAGGTCTCAGTAATACACGCTAGGTCTGCCTGCTCCTCAGTGAACAAATCACATATAAGGGGGGCCTTGTTAACTGACCTGGTGTTGAGAAGGAGCAGCCGAGTCAGAAAGCCAGGGCCGCCATGGGTCTGCTGTCCAGGGCCTGGGTCTGAGTGCAGAGAGCCAAAACATGCCACTGTTAACAAACACCGGAGGCACTTTCCCCAAGAACGGCCTGCCCTCTGACTCCCTTCAAACATCCCCTCCCCATCACCACCTGAATAGTACAGCCTGCCCTAACTTCCCCAGAGCTTCCATTCCCCCCAAATCCCAGCCCTCTGGTTTCCCTGGTCAATTTATTTATAAGATTTATATGGTCACACATCTTGCTATGGTGGCTCTGGGCAGGGATCCTCTGCACAAGGATTAAAACACAAAATCCACAGCATGCAACTCCTGGTGCCCAAGGATAAAATAACCACCTCATCATACAGAAATACATCAACAGCAGCAGAGCTCCCCTAACCGCCTGACACAAATGTCTGGGAAAACAGCCAGGTCTTCAGTGCCTTGTGAAAGGCTAGCAGGGTCAGGGCCTCTGGATCTTCAAGGGAATGGTGATCCATAGGGAGGTGCTACTACTGAGAAGCCACAACTCCAGGGTCCAACAAGAAGTCATTTTTTTAATAGAAGGGACTCGGAGCATGCCCTCTCTGCTAAATCTGTTTGGAGAGAGTAAGAACAATGGGAGACACGTGGTCCTGAAAATATATACAGATCCACTTGCTCCATTGTGGTGCTCAGGGTACAGCCACAATGCCCTAATACCCTTGAATATTTTTACACCCATATTTTAATTTTAAAGGGATATAGCTGTCATCCTTTTTCATTTCTCTGGATTGTTTATGGGTGGTGGTTGGTTGGTTTTTTGGAAGTATGCTGAATAGTTTAGAGAAAAAAAGGTGTTACTGCCTGCAGTGAGGAAGGAAGGATGTTTTAGAGAAAACAGAACTAAAACCAAATTAGTAGAGAGCCCTCCCATGCCACTTCCAGATAAACCCGGAGGATTGTATTGCATATATAAAGCATCACCGTTTCTATGCTCTGTAGTGAAATTTCAGTCTAGTTACACCATAACCATATTTATGATGCTAAAATGTATGAGCAGCTTTAGAGATTTTCTTTTTGTGTGCCTTTTTTGCTTCTATTTTGAGATGCATTTCAATATGAAGTAACACACCAAAGAAATCAGTAACAGTTATAACTGAAAAATGGTGTGTTTACATTTGGATTAATTATTAATACTGATGGGTCTACTATACATATGACTCTTGTTTGGGCTGAAGTCTAAAGGTTGTTGCATTGCCCTAGTCACCTCATGATCAGTACTGATTTTGTCATTAGATTGATCTTTTATGTCCTTTGAAAATATGCCCATAGAGAAAATTACAACTTAATTGAAGATTCCATACATTCTCTTAACGCTAAGCTCATTTCGGAATGGCTTCACCTGGAGTGGAGTTCTATAGTGAATTTGGAAGGCAAACTAATTTATTTCAAATAGAACTATTGGCCCATGATTGTGCATGAATTTTTTATTACCAACAAAACATAAGCACAGTAAGATTGTACAGTTTCATTTGGTGATCAACATGCAGGAAAAGAAATTGAAGTGCCTAGATGGGAGATGCTGTTCCTCAATTCCACACCAGGTTAAAGATGTATGTATCCCTGGCAGAAGAACAGAAGGGATGAAGCCCAAGCCAGGGGTTCACATTATTGCTTCAACAGACTAAAATAAACTATCTTATTTTATTTTGTAGTAAACATACAAAATATAGTCGAGTTGAGTAATGTTTGCTCTGCTTCTCTGCAACCCGAGTTCAAAGCAGCTATTAACCTGATTTGTTTTTAATGGGAAATGCTAGGGACTGAACCCTAGGGTTCTTTACATGAAAAAAGAAAAGAAAAGACAAAATGCTCTGTCAACTAAAACTAAATAATAACGTTTGAGTCTTGTGTAAGTATTTTCCTTGAACAGGGGAGGAGGGGTAGAGGTTGTCATCTGGGAATCTCTGTTGGTCTTCAGCGGCACTGCTCCACAAGTGGCCAGTTGTGAAGCCCTGTTCCTGAAGTTGGGTTCTTGAGAACAGTTGGGACTGTTGTTACTGTGCCAGCCTCCCTGCTGCGTAGCAACTTCCCTGCCTGAGCTGCAGGAGGCCATTGTGGGGCTGGTGGTGGAGTTCCCCAGACTTACAGTCTTGGGGGACTTCAATCTGCCATCCCTAGGGCATGCCTCAGAGATGGCTCAGGAGTTCATGGCCACCATGGTGGCCACAGGCCTGTCCCAGATTATTCGGGGCCCAACTCAGGATAGTGGTCTCACACTGGACTTGGTTTTCTTGTCAGAGCAGTGGCAATGTGATCTGAAGGAGGAATTACATCTGTCCCCCTTGTCATGGTCAGATTATGTCCTGGTGGTCTTGAGATTCTCCTATGCTACCCCCCTCTGCAGGGAGACAGGACCCATTCAATTGGTCTGCCCCTGGCGACTGATGGATCCAATGGGGTTCCAAAGGGAGCTGGGGGTTATATCCGGGAAGCTGCTGCATGGTCAGCAGAGGCCTTGGCTACTACCTGGAATAGGAAAGTGGCTGAGGCCTTGGACAAGATCACACCCATGTGACCTCTCCTGACCCATCGAGCCCGACACTCCCCGTAGTTTACGGAGAAGTTGAGGGTCTTGAAAAGGATTAAGAGACGTCTAGAGCGCAGCTGGAGCAAAACAAAGACCAAACCTGACTGAACATAGGCTAGAGCCGCTGTTAAGACCTACCTTGTGACAGTAATAGCAGCAAGATGTCAATATTTCTATGCTCGTATTGCATCTGCAGAATACCAACCAGCAGTCCTGTTTAAGATAACCCAATCCCTCTTGTGAAAGTGGGGCCCAGTGGCCCATTTACAGGGCTATGCAGAGGAGTTTTCTGGGCATCTGGAGGATAAAATTGCTTGGATCCATTCCCAGTTGGATGCCAAGTAGGGGGCGTGGTCTATAGAGATGCCCAGGGTATGGACTCACCCTGTTATCTGGGAATAGTTTGATCCTGTTGAATCCAAGGAAGTGGACAGGGTTCTCCAGATGGTCAATGCTAC